TGGACCTAAACATTGGTCTTGAGCCGAGTCATCTGTGCTGGGCTTATGAACCTAGAACAAAAAGTCCCTCCTTAGCTATGAATCTACTCACTCAAAAGTTGTAAAACGAGGTATTGCATAACCATGTTTGAGAGCTTCTTTATTAAAATCCTGTGGTCACTGAAGGTTCAATAGCTTTCTGGTTCAAGCCGATAGGTTAACAAAATCGGGTTTCCCGAAACTTGTAATGGGGGGGGGGGGGGGGGGGGGGGGGGAGTCGAGTTACTTTTAAAATTATTCAGAAATCCCCCTACCATACTTGACAACGTTAGGCCAAAACCTGCTTCTCGGACGGTGGTAGTACTGTATTTGCACAGCTTCTCCCACAGGATTAAAAAAGTGGGTGTTAAATGCGTAGTCCCTATACACCAACTCAACTCTCCTACGTCACGCCGCGGTGGTGGCGGGCCGGACGCACTTCCGGTCTGGGGCGGTGGGCAGAAGTCGCCGTGCCAGACATGCATTCCTGTGTTCCTTTGGAAGAAACGAGACAAAAAACCTGCCTTCTCGTCAAAATGCTGCCATGGGGGCTTTACAAAGAGTGTCTGGGAAGGTTTGAAGATCAGTTTTCATGTGTTTTTGCACCCTCCGTTCGTCCGAGAACGTCGATAGCAGCCGTGAAAAGGGCAAACCTGACGCTGTCGAACTACGATTGCGTGTGCGGGCCACAATTTGTGGTCGCCAGATGTATTTGCTTTGTTCCAACATGACCGAGAGAAAACCCCCAAGTTGTCCGGACCACCCACGGATTCAGTGCGTCTTCAAATTCACACGGCCGCCTGATCGTTCGAACTTTCGTCTGCTCTTTCAAAGTTGTCTGCTTTTTGTCGTCTGCTCGTTCAAACAAAAGCGGCCCGTAGACCAAACTTTGACCCGGTGATTGCAATAAGAAGTAATTGCAGGCCTCAAAAGACTTAAGTAGGCTCGGTGTAAGCAGTAGATACAAGATGTTGATCATTGGTACCGGTGGCCATCACCTACTTGTTACGCTTTGTCTGTTCCCGCTTCCGATTTTCAGTATTGACGTCGATCATCGCCGCTACCTTCTACACTTTTGCAGCACGAGGGTCGTCGCGACCGAAAATAGCTAGAAGAGTCTCATCATGGTTTTGTACGTCCATTCTGCGGCGGTCATGCAAATACATCGCCGCACGTCAAATTATTTATGCAAAGTTTAGCAGCGTAACGAGCCTTGATGATTTCGCTCAGGCGATTAAAGTGGTAAGACATTGCGATGAGGACGTAGAATCGACAACCTCAACGCGAAAAAGAGTATGCAGACTCACACAGACGCTGACGACGTGACATTCGAATGGTTTGTTGACGCGGGACGCGGTGCTTCTTGCCCGTACTCCATTGCGCGTGCGTTCCAACTGTTGTCTGCTCTTTCAAACTTGGCTGCTTTTTGTCGTCAGTTCGTTCAAACAACAGCGGTTTGTAAACCAAATATTGACCCGGTAATTGCGATAAGAACTAAGTGCAGGCCTCAAAACACTTTTGAAGGTTGGTTGGGGTAAGTCGGCTAAGTGTAAACAGACACAAGAAGTTGTTGATCATTGTTACCAGTGGCCATCACCGACTTGTAATGCCCGATTCTACTTGAGGTTTTCAGTATCGATGTCCACCATCTCAGCTACGGTCCACGCTTTTGCAGTCCGAGCGACGTCGCGACTGAAAATAGCGAGCAGAATCTCGACGTGGGAGTCAAGTTTTATAGCGCCCATTCTGCGGCGTCCACGTGAAATGAATCGCCGCAAGTCACATTATTCACGCAAAGTTTTGCCTCGATAGTTTTGCTGAAGCCGCTCAAGTAGTCAGACATTGTTAGGAGGACGTAGAATCAACAATTCCAACGCGAAAAAGAGCACGGGGACTCCCACCGACGCCGACAACAACGCAATTCAATGGTTTGTTTATGGGCGACGGCGGGCTTCTTGCCCACCATCCACTGCGCATGCGCGGCGCCGGTAACGTCCGCTAGGGGGGCTCCAGTTTGTTTGTAAACATGAGTTGGTGTATAGTCTTTTCAGCACCTTCCAAGTTACGTTTGTGTGCTTCCTTTGAGGGAGCTGGACTTCAACGTGTAGGGTGTGGAATAAACAATCGCATCAAATATGTAGCTTGTGCTGTGGGGGTCGTTTATAAAATACCCTTTTCCTGTGGTAAAGTGTATAATGGACAGACGGGCAGTTGTATTAATCTTAGAGCTCGGGAACATTCTCTGTCTTTTAGGCCTTCACTTGCGGGTCGCCTAGCCGCCCATAGCGATAGGTGTAAATGCTCACTTCGGTTAGCTGACATTGAAATTTTGGCTAATCATTCACAAAAAATGTCTAGGGAAATTCATGAAGCGTTTTATATTCGACAACACGGGCCCGATCTATGCGTAAGTTCAGAGTCAGTTACGTTATCCAGGGAAGAGTTTGAGTTTGTTCGAAGTTTGGGCACGCCTGTCTGATACTTTCTTTCTGCTTCCGTGTGAGCGATCCTATAGCTACAAGCGCGCACATGCAGCCTAAAAATGGTGCCCACACACCACGAGGCTGTGTGCGAGGCAGGTACGCACAGAGCAATAGGGCTCGCGCTGTAGTTTTGACTTTGCTCAGACCTGAAATAGGACGATGTATAGTTATATATTTCTCGACTATTTACTTTCCTTTTTCATTTGTTTGTTGTAATGGCATACTTTCTGTTAGAAATTCTTCGGATGGCACATGACAGTTAAGATGTCCTACTTGTAGGATTCTTCTTTTATTTTTTTTGTCATCTTATGTTGATATGTTTTAAGAGGACGAAAAAGAGAGTAAGTCGTGAGTCAGCGCTGTGTCTGTGTCCCTTGTTCTACTTGTCCATGTGTTCGTTTGCGCTGTTTTATTCATATGTTTACAGAAAATATGGTCGGGGCTGCGCTCCCAATATATTTAATTAAAACATCACTCATTTTCAACTCATTAAAGATGAGAACGAAAACAATTATATTTATGTGCTATTTGGCAGGGAAAACAAGCTACACATCCAAGGCCAAATATCAAATTTCCTTTTTCATTCTTCAATGAGCAAAATGCATATACTGTATCAAATGGCTCTTTCATGGGGTATAATGCAATGGGGGTCACATAAGTGCATATGGTATTTTTTTCAATACAGCGGACAAGTGTTCTAAAGTGCATCTTTTGCGCATCTGAACGCAAAGAAGGGCAAGTCGATCAAAGGGCAGCATAGAGAACGCGTAAAGAGCGCGCGATGACGAGAGGGCCAAGCTCGCGTTTCGCGTCATCATTGATTGTGCACGGGGTCACATTTGGGTGTAAACAAACGCACGAGATGCGCAAGACGCAGACGAACTTGCACATCGTATAAGTTAGCTACAGCTGTCTAACTCAGCCTGTTCTTTTTTTTTGGTTTTAAGAGCATTTTGATTGTGACTCGCCTTAACCTTCTGCTACCTGATTCCGCACTTTTCGGCACCTTGGTCATTTATACGTGAGCTCCCTCTGCGTCATTCAAATCATGTTTCCGATCTCCCAAAAGAAAAAAATAGTTCGCCTCAACGGCGCACGGTGTTCAAGTAGGATCATGCTAGACCAGATAGCATGCCACTGCGACTTCACACGCTTTTCAAGTAGCGCAGTTTTCTGGCCAAGATTTGGCTTTTGCCTAATTATGTATGGCCCTGGAAGCCTCGTTACAGCGAAGCTAATAACCAAACTTCATGTTATTTGGCCAGAGTCTGTGTAACTTGGTTCTAAATTGCCGAACAAGTGCATGAATTAGGCGTCCCTCCCTTGTGGTTCGGCTGTCACGTGACTTCTTTGGGCATCAGTTACCGAGAAAATGCTAGGAAGATGTTGGACTTTTGGTTGTTTGATTTTCACCCGCAACTTCGAGCCTAAACTGCCAAACCAGTTTAGAACTAAGCATCACTGCCGTTTGCTCTGACTCTACGTGGCATTTTTAACTCATGTCTGGCACTCTTATCATTGGGGGGCGAATAAAAATTAATTGAAGACGTTTACAATTGTCTGTAATGCGAAATTAGAGCGCAGCTTATGAGGGGGAGGAAGGGAGGGTATACCGCTGTTCCTCCTCCGTACCCACTGCACCTTTTTTCCTTCTCCTCCCCTCTTCCCCTCCACCTCTGTTCCCTCTCCCCTGTTCCCTCCTCCTTCCAGCCTCTCTTCCCCCTCCTCACCTCCTCATCCTCCTTTTTCCTCCTCCTGCCCCTCCTCCCTTCCTACTCCTCCTCCATTCGGCCTCCTCTCCCCTCCTCCTCGTGCTCCCCTTACTCTTCTTCCTCTCCTCCTCATCCGTACTACCCCATCCTCCTCCTCCGTACCCTCCCATCCTTCCACAGTTTCACCCCTAAATTTAGCTTAAAAATTGACGCACCGTCAACTCAATACCAACTCAGTTTCCCCGCTAAATCCAGCGGGGAAAATGACGTCACACGACTTGGTGTCACGTCGACTATGAGCAAATTCAGTTTTTCTACTTGATTTAGCGGGAAACTTGACGTCACGTAACCTCAACAGCAATTCAAGTCCCCGCTGTATTTAGCGGAGTTTTGCATTACTGTTGAGGTCACGTCATGTCAATTTTCCCGCTAAATATAGCGCGGTTACGCCAACGCCGACGCCGCGAAAAGCGGAAACGGGCGCCTAAGAGCTGCGCTCTTAGAGTACTTTGCCACTAGCTAAAGCCTCGGACAAATACCTTAATATGCCCAAGTTAGGCCCCTAGGATCGCCGAACTTGGACGAAGATAGGCCTTTCTCGGGAGTACTCCCTGGTTCTAAGTTCATACTCTCGCGTCGGGACTGGGCCACTGGCATGGTTTAGTCTTTGTTCGGTCGTCTCATCTTTTGCTGTCCACAGCGTACTGCCATTGTAACGCGACCTTTTTTTCGGCCTATGCTGTGCTCAACGGTTCGGCTACTCACCATGGGCCTTTTGCTTTCACAGTCCGGACCAAGCAGCATCCCGGCCATTGCCAGCTACATCCTGCTCGTCTTCTCTCTTCTTTCTCTGGTGGCCCTTGGAATCACGCTCTTCATCTTCAGCTACTTCAAGTGAGTGACCAAGATTAACTTGAAACCAAATTTCTTTTAAAAAAAATATATTTTTGGTCTCGCGTTAGTAAACTATGCTTCGCATAGTTTACTGGCTTGAGAATGTGACGCTAGCGGATTTAATAGAACGCGAAAGTTTGAGAACGTGACGTTACCTAGTTCGAAAAATAAAATAGAAGGAACAAATCACTTCATGATCCGACATCCACCTGAACATAATGACGTCAAAACAAGAACGGACATTGCGTAAACTTGCGGCATTTATATAGGTGAAAAACACTCGGCAACAAAAAAGAAAAGCCTTTTTTTCTGAAATAGTTTTTAAGGCATCCAAAATGTTTTTTGTTTTACCTGACGGTATTTGGCTTAGATGGACGCCAGATCAAAGGGAAGTTTGCGTTTTGTCCTTTATTTTTGGGTCCAGGTAACATCGTGCGTTCAAACGTCTGCGTTCTCTCCGAACCGCTTGCGTCACATTCTTATAAAGTTTCAGCTTTCATCAAGGCGTAGTTTATTTACCCGGGCCAAAAAGCACGATTCTTTCTTTCTCGAAGAGTCATTATTATCGAGTGAAGGGTTCAGCGATGTCTCGTTAATATCGACTCTTCCGTTCCACCAAAAAAATGGTCCATAATGTGAGTGGTTCATAATAACGATACAAAAATGCCTGAATTTCCCAGTTCGTCCTCCAAAATGGTGTCCATATACCGGGTCATCCTCATTAACGGGATCCGTATTTACGAGACATGAGTCACTATAACCAAAAGATCAGGCTTTGTTTTTGTTCACGTCTATTTTGTTTGAAACGGCGTAGCGAACACTTGGTCGTTGCTTTGTATGGTGGACATGTTGTATGAAACAACTCAGAAGCGGTAAAGATTTATTATTACAGTTGCCCCAATCCTGAACGCAGAAAATTGAGATGGCACAAATCAAATATTGATCGAACAAAGTTTCTTTTTTATTTCTATATGTTTTATTACCCTTATGGATTACCTGTAACTACAATCCTCCAGATAAGCTATATTCGCTCAACTGCTGACACTTGCCCTTCTTCAAAAGAAAGAAAAAGATTGTAATAGGTTGCGGTTTTAACCCTCATCATTCTCCAAAACTCCAAAACTGCAAAGGAAAATATAAAAATTATGTTTAAGGTTCAGTCATCGGCAAGTCTCCACCTACACGTAGAAATAAAAGTGTAACTGTAATAATTCGATGCATTTTATATGAATTCTACTTAAAGAAATGGACTCTGCAAGTAACTACATTCTGCTGCAGCCACATGACTGTAAATATGCACGATTGCGATTTCTTTATAGTTTAGACGATATAATGCAACGGATTGTAGTATAGGTGCCTAGCTTTGGGTCAGTCTTCCGAGCGCAATTTTCCGCTCGTAGAATATTAAAGCAAAACGGGATTTATGTCATACTTGATGTTTCACATATTCGTCTATAACCAACCTTCACAATCAGGGGCTTGTATGCGCTGTCAGCAGTTCTCAATAAACGCTCCCACATATTTGTCATAGGAAAACTAACAAGATCCGTTTTCTACCTTTTTATTTCTTGCCACAACAAATCCTTGACAAGGCTAAAATTGTATATGAATACTGTACAACCTCTGCTTCTTTTGCCATAAAAACATTGCGACCAGAAAGCAGAATACCGTGACTGAAAATACATGTAGTTGGCGATCACAGGAATTGGGCTTTCTTGTTTGCTATACTGCCTCCTCCTTCGTTATCTCTCACTTTCAGTTAGTTTTTCTCCGCGTAAAAGTGCATTAACGTTACAAAAACAAAAAAAAAAAAAAAACTGAGTATTTGTGCAGTGAAGTTTTGAAAATAATCTTTGCACCCCAGCCTTTCCGTGTCGCTTACTCAGGGGCTCAGTGAGGTAGCTAAGAATGTCTTATTTTGTCTTGAAGTAAACAGCAAAAGCGTGATGAGAATAATAAAAAAACATTATGATGAATTGATTTCAAGCACCACTGCAATTGATATATAAACAGGTCAACACATGTTGCCGTATCAGACATTGTATTCTCGTTTCACATAGACAACGTGAGTGTCTCACAATTCGTACACTTTCGCCGCGAGGCTGTAACAGGCACTGTAAAAATAACGGCTTTAATATCAACCGCACGTTCACAGGTAAATCTCCAAAGTATACATGCACGAATCCGCGCTGATCAGCTGATCGGAAGTGATGTCTTAAAATTCTTTGTCACACGTCTTCTAAATGGCACGCACACGCAAGGGACTGAGGTTCTCACACACGTAAAGAACACACGAGATGAATAACTCAGCCGTTTACACCATCTGACATGTTCTAGTAGTGCGCCTCGATGTAGCCAAATATAAATTCAAAAACAGCCCGTTTCCTATAAATTATTAAATGTCTTTAAACAGGCATTTCTTCCTCTTTGGAATGTATGCAAAAGTTTGTGCTTGAACTTCTAACACAAAGAACACCAGAAGGGGGGGAAGTTCACGGTAAGTGACCAAAACACGACGGTCCATGCGCCGAAAACCACGAGACGCTGCCATTTCTCCGTGCTACGGTGCCTTGGTGCCGAATGTCCAAGACTTGCAAAACTACGAAGGCTGGGCAGGCGTGAATTTACCTCAAACGTTCCAGGCAATGTTGGTTTAGTTCGAGCATTATCACGCTGACAACAGTCATTTGTAACGCACTTCGTAAACCCACACAAAACGTTGTGTTTCACGGAGCATCGAAGGGTACCGAGGCCAGTCAGACAGAGCGCATTGGGTGGGATGCGACACGAGCGCCGCTACGTGGCAGTGAATGGCAGCGCGTCACTTTTTTTTCTCGGAGCTTGTCAACTTGTTCAATTCAGTGACGTTGGTGGTGTAGTCGCAGTACCTCCTTGCAACTCAAGAAGGTAGGGCGATGGAAAGGAAGGCCGGGGGAAAGGAAGCAGGCGGAACGCTTGAGAAAAAAGGGTAAAGGTTTCCAGCGTTCCGTCGGCTTCCTCCTCCCCGACTTTTCTTTCCCTCACCCTACCTTCTTGAGTTGCAATGGACTATAGTAACGTTGAAGCGTGCTTTAATTGTTTCTTCTCTGCCCACAATGCTCGTTTTTTCTCCCTTACCCTCGCTCTGCGTGCCTCGAAAAGTAGACAACAAACAAAATTATTCTCCCATTTGTTGACGTTCCGCGCAGTGTTGGCTGTGTCCACACAGCTGCGCTGACTACGTTGCTACGCGCACCCAACGTCGCCCGCTAGATTGGGCGGATTTTAGTTACCATGGAGCCGCTCCGACTTCGTTGGCCGGTTAAATAAACTTTTAGGCGAAATCGCGTCGTAATATTTTACGTGCAGGCTTTTTAGGTTATACAACGCAGGACCGTGTTGTTTTTTCAACATCGAAATTTCACCGGAGTTGTCCTTAAAAAGCGCGCTGTAAAACTTTTGCCGGCACATTAAAAAGCACGCATTTCCAAGAACACATTACGATTTCCTAAACGCATAGGCTTCATTTCGGGAGTAAAAAAAATTATCACTTTCCACTTGCTTGACAAGGTTGAAATATAGAATCTAATTTCTTTGGCATTGGGGTCGGCATGCCGTATTACCATGCGCGGCCGACATACGTTAGATGACCCCAAAAGGAAATAACATATCTGATGGCACACAGTCGTCACTTTGAACTTTCAAATATAGTATGCCCGTTGAACTAATGCAAACATCCTTTTTTTTTTTTCTAAAGCGATGAAAAACGCTCCCGATCGCCAACGGCCACGGCGCTACAAGACGAAAACAATCTAGCGGATACGAATGTGGCGTCCCTTTTTTTGGTTTAAATATATTTGAAACTCATAAATTTGTGATTATTTATTCTTTATTCATCACATCTTCGTTAGACATGGAATCGCGCGAGTTCAATTGCCGTTGAAAGAAACAGTAGTCTAAAACTGCATTTTTTCGCGGAGCTGTGGCGGTAACGAGGCCCCTGTGGCCTCGACCCTGTAGTGTTATCACGTGCCTTGCTACGGCGCCCTTGTTGGGTCGCGGGGGTCGCAGCCTCCGCAGTTCGTCAAGTTATCGTGAAACGGAGTATAGCAGACGGTCGCCGTACAGAAAAAAAAAAAAAATTATTTTTTCTTTTTACTTTTTACTTGCGGAAGCTTCCCTAGTAAAAAAAAATCATTTGTATGAGAAATGTCTTCTGTCCAATAAACACATATGAATCATACAATATATATAAGAACATATAAGAACAGATAAGAACCACATAATAACTATATGAGAACTATATAAGAATTATATAAGATATATAAGAACCCCTTAAGAAACTTATAAGAAACTTCCCAAAAGTTTCTTATATGGTGCTTGTATGTTCTCATATATCTTATATAGTTCTTATATAGCTCTTATATCATTCTTATACGGTTCTTATATGTTCTTATATATCTTTTATGATTCATATGTGTTTATTGGACACAGAAATTTCTCATACAAATGAGAATTTTCAATAGGGTTGCCCTTTGAATTTTCGATGCGATGCATTCACCGCCCTCACCTCTGTGCTGTCGTAGCGCGATACGTCATCGAAACTATTTTCGGCACCTTTAAAGGCTTCACCGAGATACGGAACTCCCAAGGCATAGTCTCTGAGAGTTTAAGAAACACGGGGTACTGGGTTTCCGTCTTCATACTTCGTGATTCATTTTTTTTTGTTTTTTTTTTCGGTGTTCTTTTTTGGTTATTGCCCTCATCTCGTCGCCTGCGAAGCGACAATTCAGTGCTCTAAACTCGACGCGAGCAGCGTTTCTTAAGTTGTCAGTCACCCTAGTTTGAATTGGTTAGCCTCCTGGTTCGGTACTCGTTCGCCGTACTGGGGGCGGCCATCTTACCGGTGACGTCACGGCCCCTGTAAGGTCACGTGACGAGTAGTCACTTTTGCGTAAAACATGGCGGCAACCGGGGGGGGGGGGGGGCACTTTCGAACTTCCGGTTTATCATTCTTAGCC